GAGGGCCGGCCCCACTCCCACTCGGGGGTCTCAACAGCCTGGCAGGTTGTGGCATGGGGGGCAGGGGCCTTTCTGCCTTCTTGGTCTCTCCGGGCCCCCCTACCCCTTCCTGGCGGTTTTCGGCGGTGGGCAGGCACCCCTGTCCTGAGCACGGGGCCCGCGTGGGGAGCTGGGTGAGCCCCCGGCTGTCCTGACTTGCTGGCGTCTGCAGCTGGTTCCGGAAGAAGCACCCGCCGGCCGAGGAGCCGGTGCCCATCCCGCCGAGCGCGGACTGCAAGGACCGGTGGCGCGGCATGACGGTGGTGCCCTACCTAGAGGACCTGCACGGCTGCGCCGACGACGCGGACGACGACCTCTTCGACATCGAGGACGACATCATCTACACTCAGGACTTCACGGTGCCCGGTGAGTCTGGCAGCCGCAGCGGCTTCGAGGCCCGGCCTCGACGACCACCAGCTGTGGTGCCAGAGCCCCCGTCCCTGACGTCCCCAACGTCCGCGAGCCCTCGGGCAGGTCTGTCCACACCAGTGCTGACCCCAGGCCCGACCCTGACGCAGAGGGGCTGTTGAGGGCACACAGTCAGCTGAGGGGCAGGGCCGGCGCCCCCTCCCCACAGGAGCAGGTGGGGACCCCGGGTCGGAGGCCGCCCAGGGCTGGCCCTGTGTTCTGGGGAGTGCGCACTGCATCAGTGGCACTGCGAGACAGGGGAGGCCCCTGGTGGCTCTGAGAGGGTCCAGTGGCCCTCCTGGTGCTGGCCGCCTGCCCTGACGCACTGGCCTTGCTTCCCCAGGTGGCGAGGAGGCGTCTGAGGCAGGGCTTAGAGAGGACAGAGGCGCGTGGACAAGCCAGTGCTCAGAACTTTCTGGAGAGGAGGCTGAGGCCGGGGGCGTGGAGGAGCTCGAGGCCTTAGTGTAGCCCTGACCCCGCCCCCGCACTGCCCCGTGCCCTCGAGGCCAGGCCGCGGCACCATCCCTCGGGCCTCCCTGCCCCTGCCCAGGTGTCCGAGGGAGGCCGGGGCGGCTGCCCCCGCTGCCGGCACGCGCCCCACCCCCACTGCGTTGGCCCTGCTCTGTTGCGGGGCCAGCCGCGGCTCCCGAGATAAAGGTCTGCCCCGTGAGCGTGCGGTGCTGCTTTCTCCCGTCGTGGGCTCGCTGGCGGGTGCAGGTTCCCACCGTAGGAAGAACTGCAGTGTGGGGGCGTCCTGCGGCTGGGCAGGCGCCGTGGTGCTAGGCCCAGAGCTGTGCCTGTGGCAGACACGTGTCCCTGCGTCCCACTCTCAGGGGGGCACGCTTGGCGTCTGCGGCACCATCACAGTCGGCCGCAGGGTCAGCCGGGAGCCTGGGGAGGTGACGCGTGTGTGGTGCCCCCGGCCCTGGCTGAGGCCTCTTGGAGCCTGTGTTTCCTCCGTAGAATAGGAATGGGGCGTCCTCCTTTTCAGAGGCTTGGGGCCCCGAGACGGGTGCTGGCCGTGACCCTGGTGGCCAGCGGCCTGCTGTCCCACAGGGCCGCGTGAGGACCTCGCCAGGTCTCTAGAGCCTTGCCGGGCACTGACCACACGCTGTCCCTGGCGCCTGCGTTGGCTCATGAGTGTCCCGCAGGCCCGTGTGTGAGGCCAGGGCTGCCTCTCTTGGGGGCGGAGGGCTCGTCTGAGGGCTCTCCGGGCTGGAGCCAGATCTCCGAACAGGGAACGTCTCCCCTGCCAGACGTGGGACGGTCTCGCCTTGAGGTCAGGCAGCCACTTCTCTCTGACCTGCGTGTGGGTCAGCGACGGGCCGTGCTGGAGCCAAGACCCCACTTCTGGTCCCGGTCGTGTGGTCACGCTCAGAGGCTCTCAACTGCTCAGCCTCGCTGGACTGTCCCTACCGGGGGTCCTGCCGCCCACTCTTAGAGCTGGGCGCTGGGCCTCGGGCTGGGGTGTGGGTTGTCTGCGGCACACAGCTCCAGTGCCTTGAGGGCGAGTGTGGCAGATCGTGCCCGCTGGCCGCCCTCCCGCCACGGTCTCTGTGCTGGTGGTGGGGCTCCTGTGACGTGTGGAGAGCTGCTTGGCGCCCCCCTCGGCCTCCCCCATCTGAGCAGGGCGCCTGACCGCCCACGTGTTCGCTCCAGGGGGAGCCTGTGAGCAGTGCCTTCTGTGCACGTGGGGGGACTCGCGGCAAGTTCTGGAAACTGCTGAGTTGGGCACTGGACATCCTTGGTGGCGTGGGGGCTCCGCACTGGAGAGGAGGTGGGCTTGAGGCAGTGGAGGGCCATTTCTTGCTGCCAGCGCAGGAGAGGGGCGCGGGCAGCAGCCGGTGTGCAGTGTGTGCTAACAGAGCGGCGCGGGCTCCTGGCGGAGGCGGCGGCCGTGTCTCGTGCGCCGCTTCCCCCACTCTCAGTGGGAGCACAGAGCCCAGGCGGGCATGCAGCCCCAGGCCCGTGGCCCCAGATGCCGGTGAGCACAGGCAGCCAGCCCAGGAGGCGGGCACAGCAGGCCCCAGGCTCCGGTCTCTCCTCTGGTGCCCACATGGGAGCCGAGGCGGTCTGTGAGGGACAGACGGCATGTCTCACACCACCGGCCTGAGCCCAGCCTGTCCCCAGTCCCTCAGGGCCCGGCCAGGTCTGGTCTCCGCACAGGTGAGAGAGCTGGGTTCAGGGCGCCCCAGGACCCTGCTCCTTCACCGTGTGCTGGGCAGAGGGGGAGCAGGGTGGCCCGGGCCCGCCTGACACTGACCCCCAGCTCACACCTGAGTGTGGGCTGGGCCCCCATCCTGGCCAGCCAGCTGTCCCTCCCCCCGGTTAGGGTCTTGCAGACAGGGCCTGGGCAGGGCAGCTGGTGGCGGAGCCCAGGCCCCGCTGGCTGGAGAGGCCCCGGGCCCCAGGGAGCAGGACGGCCTGGGGGTGTTGGTCTCGGGCCCCAGTCAGCCCCCGCTCGCCCTCTCTCCCCTAGGACAGGTCCCGGAGGAGGAGGTCGGTCAGAACGGACAGAGCCGGGGCCTGCCCAAGGCCGTGTGCATGAACGGCACGGAGTCGGCCCAGCTGAGCACCAAATCGAGGGCGGAGCGCCGGGCCAGTGCCGCCTCCAACCCTGCCCGCAAGGCCTGCTCAGCCAGCAGCAAGATCCGCCGGCTGTCGGCCTGCAAGCAGCAGTGAGCACGGCTGCCCGCAGGTGGGACACGGTGGGGAATGCCCACCACGGCCGGGTCTGCCCCTCACGGTCCTGTCGGCGTGCGCTCACCACCACCAGGGTCTGGGTGGGGGGTGGAGGAGGTCACTTTCCGCAGGACACTGGCCACTCAGGGAGAGGGCGGGGGCCCGTGTGCAAGAGAAGGGCCCCTCCCGCCAGCAGCCTGTCCTGCAAACCCCAGGGGGTCGCCCCTGCCCAGCCCTAGGCAACTCCCGGCACAGGGTGGTGCTGGCCAGGCCCAGAAGCACGGGAGGCTGCTGCGTGGGTGGGGGGAGGTTAGGAGGGCCTGAAGGGGCCGGGGCTGTTGGCCTGGTCACTGCTCTGCTCCTGCGTCTGCCTGCCGCACTCTAGGAAGCGGGAATGGGGCCCAGAGGTGCTGGAGACCCTGCTGCCCACTCAGGGTGTGGGGAGTGGGGCGAGGGCCTGAGGCTGTGGCCCCAGCGCAACCACATCCCCTCTCCCAGGGAGCTGCCCCTGGACCACCTTGCGGCGCTTGTCTGCCAGCATCAGAACCAGCTTGGAGGGAGGCCCGCAGGCAGAGGTGGGAGCAGGGGGTTGGTCCCACCAGGCGGGGAGACTCACAGGGCAGCCCTCGCATCAGCGCAGCCTTTCCTGGGCTCCAAACGGCTGACGGCCCCGTGTGATCCCGCCTCAGTCTCCCCGCTCCACAGTGGGCCTCGAGGATGCAGAGCGTGTTGCTGGGCCAGGAGTGACCCCTCTTCTGCCCCTGTCTACAGCCTGTCTCCAGGAGCCCCAGCCAGGCGCCACGGCCTGGGTCCTCCTCCGTCTTCCTGCCGACTGCTGGCCCACCACCCAGGAGGGCCGCCACACTGTCCATGCCGACCGCCTGGGGAAGCCGGGGGTCCTGGAGGGTGGGGCTGGGGACAGCAGGGACTGGGGTCCGGCCCCCCTCGAGGCCTGTGGACATGACCCCCTGTTGACTGCAATCCTGTGCTGAGCCCCTCCCCTGGCCGGGCGGAGGGCGAGGGCCCGGCGGGGGCCTGGAAGCCTGCCACGCACTTTAAGTCCAGACTACTGGTCCCGCCGCCCCACTTCTCTTCTCACTGGCCGCCTAGCACCTCCCGCCTAGTGAAGCGTTCAGACACAGCCAGCCCAGCCAGAGCCGGCGAGGAGCAGGCCTGTCCACTGAGATGCATGCCCAGCGCCAGGGAGCCTGCGGCCATCTTGTTTTTGTTGTTTGGTTCCTTTTCCCTTTTTTTTTTTTTTTTAAGAAAAAATAAAACAGGTGGATTTGAGCTCTGGTTGTGAGGGGTATTTAGGAATCGTGGGGTGGCAGGTGTGCTCCCAGTGGGCAACCTGATGGGAGCCTGGAGGCCCTGTGGACCCCAGCGCGCAGGGGCTGGCCGGGGCTGCGGGGCTTGCCGGCGGCGCGGCGGGGCCTGGGCACCTTTCAGCGGGTACCTGGCCTCCCCGGGGCTCCAGGGCTGGCGGCTGCACGGTGCGGGGGTCAGGGCCTCTCCCCCTCGAGGCCCCCGTGCTCCCGGGTCCCCAGAGAAGACCCGGGGCGAGCAGGAGTATGCAGTAAATATTTATAACCAACCAGAAAACAGAACACGACAAAAAACTCCATCGCGGGGGGGGACACGGACGGCATGAAGCTGGGGGCGGGGCGCGGCGCCCCATCTTTTGGCAATAAATAAAGCTTGGGAAACTTGACCCTTCGCCGCTGGGTTCTGTGCGAGTGCGGCGGCTCTTTGGACGGTGGGCTGCAGGGCGCGGGACAGCTCGCATGCGGGGGTTGGGCGCGGGGGCGTGGACACGGAGGAGGGTGGCGGGAGGTGTCTGGGAACCGGAGCAGCAGCGGCGGCGGGCGCGGTTATTGCTCGGAGGGGGCGCGGACTGCCGCGAGCACACGCCGCGGTGAGGTAAACGGCTTCGGGGGGTTGGCGGCCGCGGCCTCCAGCCAACCTCCCAACCTAGGACCGGCGAGCTCTTCGCGGATCCTCAGCGCCCCGCGGTCCCTGCCCATGCGGGCTCGGCGCATGCGCCCTGGCGCGGGCAGACCACACGCACTTCGAGGCTCAGTTGGCCCTGGGAGGGCCGTTCTGCGCATGCACCTCGCGCAGTCGGCCTGCTCGGTCTTTGGGATGCAGGCCCCGCGCATACAACTCCTGTCTATGCGCCCCAGACGCGGTGCGGTGCGCACGATGGACCCCGCCACCACCCAGAGGCCGCTGTCTGGGGTCCAGGGCAGTTGAACGTGGTCCTCAGGAGCCCGAGGAAGCCGATCTGCCACGCTCCCTGCAGTCGACCCAGGGTCCTTGAGCCTCGCGATGCCGCAAGGACCCAGCCAAGTGCTCGGAGGAGACTGTGCGCGTGCGCACCTAGGGCCGGCGCGACGACCTTGTCGCAAAGAAGTGCACCTGCAGGATGTGCGCCTGCCCACCCGGGGCGCGACAGGCGTCCGGGACAGTGCGCAGGCGAGCAGGGACCCCCC